CGAGACCATCCTGGCGAACACAGTGAAACCCCGTCTCTACTAAAAAGTACAAAAAACTAGCCGGGCGAGGTGGCGGGCGCCTATAGTCCCAGCTACTCGGGAGGCTGAGGCAGGAGAATGGCGTGAACCCGGGAGGCGGAGCTTGCAGTGAGCCGAGATCTGGCCACTGCACTCCAGCCTGGGCGACAGAGCGAGACTCCGTCTCAAAAAAAAAAAAAAGAAAAACCATCCAATATTCTGCCTTATGCTAAACACTCACAGTAAATACAATACTAATATAGATGGTCAACTTCATCAATTCCTGGTAAATAATGTTGCTACTCTTTCTACATGAAACCCTGCCATCTTTGCTCAACCTTTTCTTTGGAGTAAGTGTATTACACAGGTGGTATTTCAAATACTCCACAGATTTTCTCTGTATCTCAGCCCTTAACTGTAACTATTGGGGTTTGACTGCAAAAATATTCCTTCCTATCTTGCGATATCACCCCTGCACGTTTAATAGGAAGATATTTACTTTGCAAATGGATCTGCAATATTAAATGTGCTCCAAAAGGACTATCTTTTAAGGTTGCAGAGAACACTTCTATTCATAATCAAGTTGTGTTTGCTCAAGATGCAATTTTGCCTTCTCCATTATATTTGATACATATCCCAGATAAGGATCTTGACCTTATATCTGGCTGAATCTTTGTGTTTTTATTTCACCCCTACAGTGTCCTGGAGCTTTCCAAGTTACCTTCAGAGAACAGATAATTAGAAGGAAAGATAACAATGAACCTCTGTAATAGACTAGACAAACTGAACCTGAAAGTACTGAATGCAAAGCAGTGAATTAAAACTATAAAGAATTTTCTGGGCGCTGTGCTAGTGGTCGCGTTAGCATCTTCAAATTTTATTTTTGGAAGAAATCTTAGATACCTTTTGTTGTTGTTGTTGTTTTTAAAAGCCCATAATATCATGTGAAATATAATCTCACTTACTTCAGGTTTGAGTAACATTTTGAAAAGCCAAGGATGAGGAGGAATCATATTGTTTTTAAGTCTAACTTCCTCAAATGTTTGACACACTCATATTGGAACAGGTTAGTCACTTAGAGATGCAGCAAGTGAAGGAAAGGACGTGTCTTATATACTGGTGAGTATCTAGTGCCAAAGCCAGATATAAGGATGTAGCCTTCCATATGTATTTTGATTGAAAGAATGAAACTGGGAGTGGAGCATGAAGGTCAGAGATGATGTTCTTATTAAAGGCTTTTGAGATATATTAACAAATTTGCTTCCATCCTTTCACCACCTCCCAAAACAGGTGGAATAAGGCTTTTTAATATTAACTAAATTGAGAAGTGGAAAATGGCATGCTGTTTTCATAAGTTTATAAATATTACTGAGATGAAATATATTTTCATGTAGTAATTTTTAAATCATACTTTCACCTTATAACATATAAGTTTCATTGCAGCATTGAAGTCCGGGTTAGTGTTATAATAAAAAGTATATTGCATTCAGGCTGGGTGCGGTGGCTCATGCCTGTAATCCCAGTGCTTTGGGAGGCTGTGGCAGGCAGATCACTTGAGGTCAGGAGTTCCAGACCAGGCTGGCCAACATGGGGAAACTCCATCTCTACTAAAAATACAAAAATTATCTGGGCATGGTGGTGTGTGCCTGTAATCCCAGCCACTTGGGAGGCAGAGGCAGGAGAATCACTTCAACCTGGGAGGCAGAAGTTGCAGTGAACTGAGATCGTGCCACTACACTCCAGCCTAGGTGACAGAGTGAGACTTTGTCTCAAAAAAAAAAAAAAAGTATATTATAGTTAGTGCTGATTATGTGGCAGACATTGTGTTAAATTCTTTGTAGGTATTATTTATGAAATTTAATGTATTCCTTAGTACATGCTTGTTGATGTAAGTATTATAATCCTCATTTTACAGCAAATATACTACTAAGACTTTTAACCACATTTTATGACAGCTCATAATGCCACAAGGTTCTGATACTTGGTTCAAATGATAACTCACTTTGTTAAAAAAAGAAGGTTAAATTATGTTTAATAACTGCTCCTTGTTCTTCAAAGTAGACTAGAAAAGAAAGTGGACTAGAATTATCTGGAACTGTCTATCTCTACCTTTCCCCTCAACTCTGAAAGTTTTATTATTCATTTTCTAAAAGAATAGTACTGAGAGATTGTGTAAGTCTTACACCAAGTTGCATCTGGGGCATGTAAGATGAGCTAAAGAGACTGATCACAATAGCTTAGCAGCAGAGAATTCTTTTGAGAGAGTTATTGGTGTGCACTGATATCCACCCTCTCTTTATCACTGCTCATTTTCCCCATAGGGCAATGAGAGGTGCTGCTTTCTTACTATCTTTACAAACTAAGTAGCATTGGGTGCTTAAAGATCCTCTTGAAAAGCTGATATGTGCTCTTTGGGGTTTGGAGACACTAGTACTGGTGCCCAATTCATGCCTAAAACCATCTAAAAGTGATAGTCTGGGGTGGAATGGTTTGTGGCAAAGTAGGAAAGAAAAGAGAGTTGGGGGCATCCTGTTCTTACAGTGTATGGCTAAACTGGTGCGCATGAGTTTTTCTCCGGGGTAGAATCACTGGGGTGTTCTGGACTTGGGTCATATTCCTGCCCAAGATGTCAACATGTCAAGGTGCACTGATCTCAGCATCAACAATATATTGAATGAGTGGATCTCTAGAAGAGAGAATTTGAGGAAAGGAATCAGAAGTGGACTACAGTAGGGACGTGCTATTGGGAGGTCCTGGCAGGGGGGGATCAGCAAAGAACCCAAATCATCCTTAAGGACTTAAGCCACCACCAGAAGGTGCCGACATCAGATCAGTTATGTATCATGTAAGGTTTCTTTTCCTTAATTCCCTGCACTCTAGTGTTACAACTTGAAGGTATCGTAAACATGAGCTAGTGTACACAGTGGGAGGTAGAGTTGGAAATGAAAATAAAAAGCCATACTCCTTTTTCACTGTGTGCCTGTAAGGCAGAATCAGGCCTTGGCTGTGTGACTGAGTGGGATCTGAGGGGGAGCAAGATACAAGGGGAGAAACTTTAAATCAAATATCTCAGAGAGAGATTTAAAAATTTAGGTCAAATGGTATTTATTTTTATTTAGAAAAAGAGACTATTCATTTATCTGAGAGTGACTAATGAACAAACAGGAAAAAAAGTTATGATTACATAAAAGAGGAATTATAAGAAAGAATAAAGTTGCTTTTTGCTTGCACAGAACTAGATACAAAATATTAATTGTTTAAAATGTAAAAACAATAACTAAATTGAGGCAAAAACAAGATAAATCTTAAATACAAATGAACTAATATGTTATATTGTGTTCCCATGGTTGGGGAATAGGCAGTACCTATTCTATAGTCCTATTAAGGCTTTCTTAAGTATCATTGTTGAAAACTACGAATATCTTAAAGAATATTAACAAAGTGCATGACATGAAATGACAGCAGAAAAATTAAAAGAACATTGAAAAATAATGACAGAGAAAAAGATGAGAAGAGTGTGTATCTGATGCATGCAAAAAATACTAATGCTAGTCTCATGTTATTCCTACTGTAAGATTTATCTCCATACATCTACGTGGAAAAACTGGTTGACTTAAACATAGAGGAAATTTCCTACATTATTAATTTCTTCCTCTAAAAGTAGAAGACAAAAATACTCTAATTCTCAGACTTTCCCATGGGTAGGCATATGATTTCGATTCTTCCCTGCAGGTTGACTTTTGTGAGGCTTAGCTGGAGATGTGAGCAACTCAAAGATGCAGCTTTTCATGGGGTAGGGGAATGTTTGTTTACTGAAAATGTGAAGATGGCGGCATCCATTTACTCACAGCTGACACTGCAGAAGGTTCCAGCATTTCATCCGGAGATCATGGTGCTGGGTCATGGTAGCTGTGTTGTTTTCCTGTGAGATGCCTTTACAATGGTAGTATTATGCTTGGTGGAATAGTTGTAGAGTATGGCTCCCTCACAATTCTGGAGTATCTGTGTGCAACCTAATGATCTTAAAAATTAAATTACTTTTTACTTAAATTGCTGAGCAGATTGTTATTTGCGATGAAGAACTCTGAATAATACACATCCTGAAACAATTGTAGTAGGATAATGTTTTGTATTAATGAATTATTCTTGATTTTTCGATCTGTCATTTATTTTTCCCTAGCAAGGCATTTACCCTGAGTAGTTTTGAGGATATAATGTCATAGCAGAGGGGCAGAGAGAAAAATGAAGTCAAATTTTAGGCTTTATAGGATTATAGTCCTGGTCCTCAGAAGAATGGAAAGTAATTTGAGTTTGAGTTAAAGCTTTCCTTCTGTGTGTAGAAGTTATTTTCTAACTTCAGGAAAGGGAAAAGACTAAGAAAGGGAAACTGGAGAAGAGAGATCTAGGTGGCTTGGGAATGGGGCAGTAATTACCTACAGGGTTTATATGGATGGAGAAGGTGGAGCCTCTACTCATATATGAATTCTGCATAGAGGCAACCACTTTCTCTGCCAGTGCCCACAGATCATGCAGCCTCCACCCAAATGAGAACTGTGTACTCTCTGTACTTTAAAGCCTAGTTAAGTGTCCCAGATCTCCTTTATTTGCAGCCAGCATGCCATACAAAGACCACTTGGCAGAAGTGATGCTCAACTGTGCCCCATGGCTTGTTTGGTCTCATCAGATTTTCATCATATTCACCACATTTCAGCCCTATCCTAGGACCATGGTAAATCCCCGAATAAGAGCATGGGACTGAATATACAGAAGGGTGGTACCTATGAGAGAAAAAAAATCTACCTGGAACAGAAACTGCTTGATATCTCATTGGAAAATGCATCCCAGTTACACAATATCTCTCTTGAGTCCTTGTGTGTGATTTCAAATATAGGATTTAGTTAAAGATCATATTAAAAGTTAGTACTATAAATAAGCATGAGTTGAATTGCTCTGTAGGTAAAACATTGACCTCATACTTAAGCTTTACTTTGCAATCTTTATGGTTCAAGAAAAATGTATGCATCATGATTTTGAGTTAAGTTTAATGGCAGTTGTTTGACACTCTGAAGTTGCTCATTCAACTTGTTTCTTGGGGAGAGGGAGCTGGACAGGCAAATTTTGTTCCTTGTACTTTTAGAGTATGTGACACGTTGGTTGCCGTGATTTGCTTCTCATCTGGATATCCCGTATCTCTTTCTGAAGTCTCTGGCTCTCATTCTTGAATCCCTCCTTGAGAAGGCGTTCCTGTTCCTAAAAGGGAAAGTGGAGACTAAGTCTATCCAGCTTAACACGTTTCCACCAAATTAGTTTCCCTTTTGGTACTTATATTGATCCTTCAAGAATTTTTGACACTTGCTTTTGAAATGCTTTCTTCCCTTAATTTTCATTCTATCACTCTCTTCTGAGTCTCCTATATCTGCAATAATTTTTCTATGAATTTTTAGCTTCAAAAATGTTGTTGTCCTACAGTTTCTAAAATATTAGTGACCCAGCATTTCATTCCTTGGTCCCTTCACCCTTCACACACATGCAACACAGTCTTTTGGAAAAACCATAACTTTCTCTTGTTCTTTTGTTGTTGTTGTTGTTCATTTCTGATCTATACAGTATGGACTCTTACATATATATCTAGGAAGGTATGAAAGATAGGTGATTTCCAATTGGTAGGTTACTACATAACTCAAGAGTAGGGCAAGTGTTTGATCATGGAATTTAGTACCAGTCTCCAAAATTCAGAGGTAACAGAAATAAACTGAGGAGATCAGGGCTTACAGTGGCCCATAGGGTATTTCTGGGCAAACATAAATGTGGAAAAGAGCCCAGAGAAGAAGAAAGAATTGGCACCATTGGCACTTAACCAGTGTGCTTAAGTGGGTAGATGGTTAGGGAATCTTTATTTCTTTCTTTTTCTTTTGAGATGGAATTTCACTCTTGTTGCCCAAGCTGGAGTGCAATGGTGCCATCTCGGCTCACTGCAGCCTCCGTCTCCCGGGTTCAAGCGATTCTCCTGCCTCAGCCTCCTGTGTAGCTGGGATTACAGGCAGGCACCACCATGCCCAGCTAATATTGTATTTTTAATAGAGATGGGGTTTCTCCATGTTGGTCAGGCTGGTCTTGAACTCCCGAGCTGAGGTGATCCGCCCCCCTCAGCCTCCCTAAGTGCTAGGATTACAGGTGTGAGCCACTGCACCTGACCTGGTTAGGGAATCTTTCTACTCATAACAGTGCTTCCAGACATAAAGTCATAGCAGGCATGACAGAAACAAAATCCCTATGGATCCCTCTCAGTAGGAAAGACGGGCTAGATATTTCTCCAGGTACTCTGATGCAGAAAAGTTACTTATTGCTCGTGAAATTATAATTACTTCATTTAGCAAATGAGAAACTAATAGTTCCTCTGCCATTAGAGGAAAATTTGATCACATAATGTAAAATACTTGTGCAGTGCCTAGCAATGTTTGTTGGTGATAGCATAATAAAGAATTCCATGTGATTGTAGCCTGCAAGTAAACAGTCTTTACTAACCAGAGATGACTGGCATAAAAACAGTTAGGGAATGAAAAATGTAGTAGTGTCTGGGCTAGAAAGTTTTTTGGGAGGCATTAGGTTCTCAGCCTTACACTTCGTTTTCAATAGGGGGCACTGGAAGAGAAAATTGAGATGATGCAATTGAATACCTGAAGTTTAAGAGCGAGGGTCTTCTCTTGCTCTGCCATTAACTGGGCCCTGTCCCTCTCCATCTTCTCAGTCAACTGTTTCACATGTTCCTGATAACTCTTCTCTTTCTGTTCCATCATCTGCTCATTCTTCTTTTGTATTTCCTCCAACATTTTCTTTGCAGCTTCTGCAGATTCAGCCTTTATACGTTCCACTGTGGAAGAAAAATAAACAGAAAAAAATATGAATATTCAATTGTAGGTGTTCCCTTTTCCTTTCCCTCTTTTTTGTTTGTCTTATCCTTACGTCATTGATAAAACTTCTTGTAATTTTGCCCTGGGTAACCAGAAAACCAATGATCATATAGATTAGTTAAGAAAACTCTCATAAAACTATGAATGATACTTGCCATTCTTTCTCTACAATAATAATTTCAGGTGGACCAATATTGCTACCTAACATTTTGAGGGCTTTCCAACCATGTAGAGTGTTTTCAGCTGTTCTCACCTTCAATCGCTTTTTCCTTTTCTGAGAGTGACTGGTCAGTCTGTAGAAGTGCATCAGCCACATCCTCCTTGGACTCCAAGTATTTTTTCAGCACCTCTTCGGCCTGGTTATACAGAGAAAGGTAGAATGAAGAAAGAGTGATGATGGGTCAGAGCAAAACCCTGCAATACATCTGTTAATTCAATTTAATTTTAGCACTCATGTAACAATTCACTTTATAATTCCAATAGTATTTCAGATTTAGTAGGTCTGAAATGCAACTCTGGATCTCCCTTCAAACCTATTCCTTCCCAATGACCCCAATTTTAGTAATTAATAACTCTGTTCATCTAACTGTATCCTGGATATCTTTCTTGTCTCACATATCCTGTAAACAATCATCTGCAAATTATGTTAGCTTTAGCTTCAAAATACAGCCAGAACCCATCACTTGTCACCTGCTTCATCCAAACACCCTAGTCCAAGACAGCATCACCTCCAGCCTGGACAATTGTTAAAGTTTCTGGTCTCTCTGCTTCCACTCTTTTTTCCCTACAGTCCGTTCTCCTCAGAGCAGCCAGAGATTTGCTATATTATTTAAAGAAAAATCTTACCATTCGTATACTCAAAGCCCTCTATTAACTTTCTAGTTCATCAAAAAATGTTTCAAACTTCTTTCACTGGACTTCGACATACTCCCCTGTCTGGCTTCTGTTATCTGACCACTCCTCTGAACATATCTGTCACCAGTCGCTCCTTGGTTCACCACCAGGCAGCACATTAGCTTTCTTGCTAGTCCTAGGACACAAGCCAATTTATTTATCTGGATCATTTCTGTTATTGAAAGTTCTTTTTTCCTAGAGTCCATTTGGCTCACTCTTTAACTTCTTTGAAGATTCTGCTGAAACTTGACCTCATCTGAGAGGCCTTCAGTAAGAACATATATATAAAATTGGTGCACTTTTCCTTCCTCTTCTATACCTGTATCCTGCTTTTTCTTCAGAGTGCTTTTTGTCACTGTGACAGGGACTGCTAGAGTCGTTCTAAATTTCTTTTCTCCTCTGTGTACTTTGTAACAGACTGTGATTTTTTTTTTTTTCCAGCTGGGCAGGTCGTGATAAAATACTGTCTTTTCTTTTCTTTTTCTCTTTTTATTCTTTTTGAGACGGAGTCTCGCTCTGTCACCTGGGCTGGAGTGCAATGGCGTGATCATGGCTCATTGTAACCTCTGCCTTCCAGGTTCAAGTGATTCTCCTGCCTCAGCCTCCTGAGTAGCTGGAATTACAGGTGTGCACCACCATGCCTGGCTAATTTTTGTATTTTTTTAGTAGAGACGGGGTTTCACCATGTTGGCCAGGCTGGTCTTGAACTCCTGACCTCAGGTGATCTACCCACCTCGGCCTCCCGAAGTGCTGGGAATATAGGTGTGAGCCACCGCACCAGGCCAATACTCTCTTTTCTACTCAACCTCCCTTATAGCTGAGGTGCCCATATGGCCAGACTAAATTCTGGCCAATAACATATACTCAGAAGTATTATATAGTACATCTTGAAAATCTCTTTAAAGAAAGTTGACCCTTTTACTCTTTTGTTTTTCCTCTTTTACCCCATCTATAATGTGGAACCAAAGGCTGAATTTCTATGAGCCATCTTAGAGCAGAAATTGACCTTGACGATTGAGGCCATACGCTAAGGGGCTGAAGCAGAACAAGGGATCTAGATGAATGTGAAGTCATCATAGCAGCATTCAGCTCTCTCTTCCTGGTTTCTCACATACATACAAGAAAGAAAGAAACTTCTACCTTTTAAAGCCACCGTTGTTTTTCATTTTGAGTAACATATAGCCAAAGCTAATTCTAACTGATGTAACCTGAGTGTACCAGCATAGAAGAATTGCTAAAAGCATAGAAGAATTGCTAAGAGAATAGATTCTGCTACCTGCACTTGCATCCAAGCTGTATCATTCATTATTTGTGTGATATTGGTAAGTCCTTGCACTTCCCTGACCCCGGGCTGCAAAGCTTGTGGCTCCAAAAGAGAACCTTTCCTTCCTCTGGAGGAGAGGAAAGAGAAGAGTGGAAGGGACTTTGTCTTGCATCTTGCACACCAGCTCAGCCACAGCAGGACAGGGTGTCAGTCGGAGTCACAAGGCCCCCGTTCCAGGCCCTCCTGGATGACATTTCTAGACACACCCTAGGCCAAGGGTAATCTGCTACTTTGAAGAGAAGGATCCAGCCCTGGCAGGATCCATCACCTGCTAATTGAAGAGCCTTTGCACCCTGAATAACCAGCAGCAATACCCAGGTAATATGTTGAGGGCCTTGAGAGAGACTCTGAGACTTGCTGCTTCAGGTGAGACTGAAGCACATTCTCAGCCATAGTGGCTATGGGGCGAGACTCCTCCTGCTTCAGAAAAGTGGAGGGAAAAGTACGGGGGACAGTGTTTGCACTTTAGGTAGCAGCTCATCTGCATGGGGGATAGAGCACCAGGCAGGCTCTCAGGGTACCGGATTCCAGGACTTTAATCTTGGATGGTATTTCTGGACCTGTTCTGAGCCAGACAGGAGCCCTCTGTTCTGAAGGGAGAGTCCCAGGCCAGGCAGTATTTACCACAAGCTGATGAAAAAGCCCTTGGGTCTTAAGACAATATTGGTGGTAGTCTGACAGTACTCTCCATGGGCCTGTGGTGGCTGTGGCCATGGGGTGAGGCTCTGCGCTGCCTTTGGAAAGGAGAGGGAAGAGTGGCAAGGACTGTGTCTTGTGGCTTGAGTGCCAGCTCAGCTGCAGTACAATAGGACACCAGGTAGATTTCTAAGGTTTTTGACTGTAGTCCTTGGTCCAGATGACATCTCCGGACATCTCTGGACATGCCAGGGGCCTGAGGAAACTCACTGCCCTGAAGGGAAGGACACAGGCCTGGCTGGCTTTGCCACCTGCCGATTGTAGAGTCACAGGTTCTTGAGTGAATGTAAGTGGTAGTCAGGGAGTTACGATAGCAGGCCTCAGGAAGGACCCAGTGTTGTGCTGGCTTCAGGTCTGACCTAGCACAGTGCTAGTTGTGGTGGCCACAGGGGTGCCTGTGTCACTTCACACCGAGCTCCATTTGGCTCAGAACAGAGAGAGAAAGACTTCATTTGTTTGGGAGAAAGTAAGAGAAGAGAACAAGACTCTGTCTAGTACACCAGAAAATTCTGGATCTTGCCCAAGACCATCAAGGCAGTACCTCTAGGAGTCTGTAAGAATCACAGTGTTACTGGACTTGGGGCGCCCCCACAGCAGATACAGCTTAGATCATGATACCTAAGTCCTTTTGAATATCCGGAAAGCCTTTCCCAAAGGACAGGTACAAATAAGCACAGACTGTGAAGATTACAATAAATACCTAACTCTTCAATGACCAGACACAGATGAACAAGTATCAAGACCATCCAGGAACATGACCTCTCCAAATGGACTACATAAGGCATCAGGGACAAATTCTGGAGAAACAGATATGTCACCTTTCAGGTAGAGAATTCAAAATAGTTGTTGTATTAGTCCATTCTCACACTGAAAAAGACGTAGGTAATCTATAAAGGAAAAGAGGTTTATTGGATTCACGGTTCCATGTGGCTGGGGAGGTCTCATAATCATGGTAGAAGGTGAAAGGCATGTCTTACATGGTGGCAGACAAGGGAGAATGAGAGCCAAGTGAAAGGGGCTTCCCCCTTTATAAAACCATCAGGTCTCATGAGACTTATTCACTACCACAAGAACAGTATGGGGAAAACTACCCCTATGATTTAATGGTCTCCCACCAGATCCCTCCCACAGCACATGAGAATTATGGGAGCTACAATTCAAGATGAGATTTGGGTGGGGACACTGCCAAACCATATCACTCTGCCCCTGGTCCCTCCCAAATCTCATGTCCTCACATTTCAAAGCCAATCATGCCTTCCCAACAGTCCCCCAAAGCCTTAACTCATTTCAGCATTAACTTTAAAGTCCACAGTCCAAAGTCTTATCTGAGACAAGGCAAGTCCCTTCTGCCTATGAGCCTGTCAAATCAAAACCAAGTTAACCACTTTGTAGATACAATGGGAGTTATAGGCATTGGATAAATATACCCATTCCAAAAGGCAGAAATTGGCCAAAACAAAGAGCCTAAAGGCCCCATGCAAGTCCAAAATCCAGCAAGGCAGTCAAATCTTAAAGTTCCAAAATGATCTCCTTTGACTCTATGTCTCATATCCATTTCACACTGATGAAAGAGGCAGATTCCCACAGTCTTGGGGAGCTCCGCCTCTGTGGCTTTGTGGGGTATAGCCCCTTCCTGGCTGATTTCATGGAATGGCATTGAGTGTGTGCAGCTCTTCCAGGCACATAATGCAAGTTGTTGGTGGGGCTGGGCGCGGTGGCTCACGCCTGTAATCCCAGCACTTTGGGAGGCCGAGGCGGGCGGATCACGAGGTCAGGAGATCGAGACCATCCTGACTAACACGGTGAAACCCCATCTCTACTAAAAATGCAAAAAATTAGCCGGGCGAGGCAGCGGGCGCCTGTAGTCCCAGCTACTCGGGAGGCTGAGGCAGGAGAATGGCGTGAACCCGGGAGGCGGAGCTTGCAGTGAGCCGAGATCGCGCCACTGCACTCCAGCCTGGGTGACTAAGCGAGACTCTGTCTCAAAAAAAAAAAAAAAAAAAAAAAGTTGTTGGTGGATCTACCATTCCGGGGTCTGGAGGATGGTGGCCCTCTTCTCACAGCTCCACTAGGTAGTGTACCACTGGGGCCTCTGTGTCGGGGCTTCAACCCCACATCTCCCTTCTGCACTGCCCTAGCAGAAGTTCTCCATGTGGGGCCCACCCCTGCAGCAAACTTCTTCCTTGACATCCAACCATTTTCACACTTCCTCTGAAATAGAGGTGGAGATTCCCAAACCTCAATTCTTGACTTCTGTGCACTCGCAGGCTCAACATCATGTGGAAGCTGCCAAGCCTTGGGGCTTGTACCCTCTGAAGCCATGGCTGGAACTGTACCTTGACCCCTTTTAGCCACAGCTGGAGTGGCTGGGACACAGGGCACCAAGTCCCTAGACTGCACATAGCAGAGAGGCCATGGGCCTGGCCCACAAAACCATTTTTC